AAAAAAGGAACTGGCTACTCATGCATGCGACGGAAGTTGTATGGGGAGGAAAGAAACATGAGACAGAAGGAGATAGCCGCTGAAATTGAAGGGCCACATCCACTCTCAAGGGTTGTTAACCTGTCTTTGTCGCATTAGTTCGACAGTGAATCGACCTGTAAAATCAATGGGGGCAGCGAAAGACTGAAGACCCAAGGCCGGCTTGCAAAACTCGTTGGAGGATGAATGAGGCCCTGTTGAGGCGATCTACTAGGATACAAAAAGTTTGGTGAATGACAGAACGGCGTGAATATGGTGAATATGAAAACCTTCCAACGGAACACAGCACTCATGGTGATGCAATATAGACCCGCTAAAATCTTTGAAATACCCAGAATTGTTGACTTATTAGGCAACGTTTTTAAAGGAAAGTAACTCGGGAAAGGATTTTGATAATTTGATTCTCAACTTAGACTGGAAACAAATCCTATAATCATGCTTTATTGCAGTTTAAACAGAAAACTAAATTGAATTTGTTGTTATTAAACAACTTCATATTAAGTTATGATGTCCTGTGCTAACTCTAGTCCTTCATAATTGTTAAGAGTGTTATGATACGACAGTTTTAATCTAATTTACATAGGTTGTGAGTTACTTATCGTTGCTATATATTTGCTGTGTTTATACCCTATCATTGATTTATTTATTAACTTATGTGGAATTAACTACTAGATATATAAGTGCCTATAGCGTTCAAGGGACACATTTACTTCGAATTGTTGTTTTAGATATCAAAGATAGATACATTTAGATATCAAAGATATGTAATAAAAAAATCTCTGAGGTTGTTAAACGTTTATTACTTTAGAGGTAATGGGAATATACACAGTTCTCATACTAGGAGGACATCACATGTAATCTACGAATCTTATTAAATATAATTATTAAATATTCAACACCCAATAATTAAAGACAATAACTTCATTCACTTCCAACCATTAAAAACTAAAACGTTTCTTAGAATTTATTAAACTCGAATTTTTTGTATTTGTGAATTTAAACTCGACTTTCTATTGATTTCAAGGCATCATATGCTGAGTTGGAAAAGCTTTAGAGATTTAAGAAACTCTGATCAATCAAATTCATTATAATTATCCTCTCTTTCACGAAATGTGAAATAACACTCAACGAATCAGACCTTATTCATTTCTATAAAGAACTTAAGAAATTTCTAAGAGACTTATGAATAAACGATTTTTCTTGAAAACAGTTTACCAAAAGAAATGCAAAGTACACTCTTATTCAACTTGATTGTACAGCCCTTTGATTAAAACGATTTCTTTGCGAAGAAGTAGATTTGCTCAGATCCCGAAGGAAACTTTATATCTTAATTATTCTAATAATTTTATCATGTGAATATTATGTTTCATACTTGTATCATAAGTAATATTTACATTGATTTAATGCTGTTAAACTCAATAAATACGCCACGCCACGCTACGCCACGCTACGCTACGCCACGCTACGCCACGCTACGCTACGCCACGCTACGCCACGCTACGCCACGCTACGCCACGCTACGCCACGCTACGCCACGCTACGCCAATTGGCGGGCTCCATGATGCCTCGCCACCGCGCCGAACGACCTGTCGTATCCACTGGACGGCGACCCGGGAGATCGCGGGAGCGCCTACTTTGTATTTTTATCTGCACCATTTCACCGCTTTGCTCCGTACTTCGGCCGCCTCCGTCGTTGTGGCTGCGGCCGTCGCCTAAAGGCGCCCTTCTCCGCTGGCGACATTGCCGCTGTGACAGCGCACCATCCACTTCGCTGTGGGAGGCTCTTCGGTTGTTCGGGTCCATGCTTAGAGCAGCGATGCTACTGGGCAAACTACGTTAACGTTGCTAACTAGTTAATTTAACGTTATATTCTGAAACAAGCCTTAATTATACGTTTGTTGAAAGTATTTTGCGAAGTGTTATGAAGTACCGTTGGACTGATGACTCAAAATAACCTGATTATTTTACAGATGTTCAATTACTGGTAAAGACGTGAACTGTTATTGCCTTAATATTATTCAGCAAAATAATTTATCCTTTTAAGCAGTTTAATAGTTGTTTACAAAACTTACTTTGTTAGCTAGATTAATTTTTAATAAATACTCTTTCTAGTATTAGTGATGACGAATCCTTTGTTGGGACCATTAAGCAAACTTTATTTAGAAGACATTTATCAATAAAACTGACGTGTTGCGTTCCTTGCATCATATCCTTTTACTGATATAGTTCTTTTACTTTTGATGATTCAGGGTACTGTTTGCGATGAAAAGCTTTGAATTGTGTTGCAAAAATATACATCCATATATATACATATTATAACTAGTGAATAAATATTATAAGTGGTAACAATAAGTCATCAAAAACGTTACGTATTTCACGCGGGCATGATTCGTTTGCTTAACAGCTACGATATGCAAAATGGAATTGCCTATTAATGTTCTAACTGCATTTCGTGCATATAACAAAACGGTATTTGTACTTTCGACACGCCTATAAAATCGGTAGATATCCATGCATCCAGCATATAGAGATCATAAACGTACTGCTGAGAGAAAATCTGTCAGACGTTGGTGTGACACCTGTCATAAACTTTCAATGGCGCGTGTACATGACTGTGGTAAAATAAAGCGCCCGTCGTTTGAAGCTACGACCAGCTCAACGTTTTCGCTTTGCTCGTATCTTAATGAGTAGTAAACCTAAACTCTGTCTTCAGAAACTAGTAACGATTTTTCGCATTTCCTTACTTTTTCCACTATGAAATACAAAATTGTACTCTTTTGACACAAAGTTCCATGCTGCCAACTTCTATGCGTTTGTATCACGAATAATGAATGATACATATGCTGTGAACCTGATGAGATTGGAAACTAGAACAAAATTTTACACTCCGGAAACATTAACATGCAAGTTGAATAAACTTAATATTTTACGTAAGAGTTACTCGTAGATATTTCAGTGTAACCGCTAAAAATTCCAAAAAATAAAGTTTTAAGCTTTTTTGGAAACAGTTTCTAGTGTTTCAAATTGGCAGTAAAAATCTATTTTAGATCCATCATCCATATACAATTAATATTGTATTACATAACGTTAGAGTTGTATTTTATTCTGGGGCATTTTCTAATGCTCATTATTTTTCGTTTTTCTGGGCTGTTATCTTTAAGGCTAGAATGCGTGCGCAAGAATACTGATGTGCACGACGAACGTGCTAGTGTAATTGTGAACTTGTTGCGACGTTAGTAGAGATAATAAAAGCACGATAGTTCAACGACTGTGTTTATTTTTGTTGGTTTTCTCAAACTTCTGTTGACTCATTAACTATTTCTCTCACCACTGAGTTGGTGTCATTAATGTTTGGTGTTTAGCCACCGGCTGCTCATGAATTTTCACATATCTTAAGTTCTACAACTTACCGACTTGCTGGAAGTAAAACACTTGCTGTAGACTACCGCTGACCGTTCTAATTGTAACAAGGGACTGACATTACTAAAGAAAGCAACTTTCCCCCAAAAGTTCAGTTCCTTATTTTAAAAATAGGCAAATAATAAAATAATTATAATTTCTATTTTTGGTTATTGCTCTCAACATTACCAACATGCACACCACGACCTTCAACAACATGGTATATTACTTAAGAGAATCAACACGGAAATGATAAAATCAATAAACAAAATTACTTTGCCTTAATACTTATATCGACATTTTCCCATGCAGCCTCTCTTATCGTTCCTTCGAGAATGGTATGGTGAACCTTCTGATACCATACATAGAGATTGGTGGGTTCATGCCCGACTGAAATCTTGTTTCAAGAGATTTACTAAGAATTTCGTGGCCTGTATAGTACCTACGTTTACAGCTAGAATGTCACTTTTTAGCATCAAGCCGACCATTTGCTACACGGGACACTAGTGTTGTGTATGTCGTGTAAGGAAACTAATATGGTTGAAGAACAGATCGTGGGATCACAGAGTGAAGCTTCGTTACTAACTGTAGTGCCTTATAGGGAGGGGAAGAAGAGAGACAGGAAAGCGTAAAAGGAAAGGTAGAAAGGGAAGGAAAAGTTTGGAAGAAGAGAATGAGAGAAAAATGTATGCGGCGAAGAGAAGAAGACAAAGGAAGAGAGAAAGCGCGTGCGAGAGAAAGAGAGAGTCGAAGGAACTCAGGGGGCGACAGAAGAAGGGTAAAAGACGAAAAAGAATCCTGAAAAAGAAAAGAGAGAAGGGAAACGAAGAAAGAAGGGGTCGAAGAAAGAGGGAGACGAAGGAGGAGGGAGACGAAGGAGGAGGGAGACGAAGGAGGAGGGAGACGAAGGAGGAGGGAGACGAAGGAGGAGGGAGACGAAGGAGGAGGGAGACGAAGGAGAAAAAATGGCCAGTTTCCCTTCAATTTTGTTAGCGGTGGAGTCGTGGATGTTGGTGGCCATGTTCGCGTGGCGGGTGCGCAGGCGGAGGCGAAGGCGAGGCGAAGGCGTAGGCGGAGGTGCGAGCGATTGACGTAGGCTGTCGAGGCGCCTGCGCGACAAAGCCGCTACCGCTCCGCCGGTGGGAGGCGGCGCGTCGCCCCGGAGCTTCAGCGATCGTGTTTTACATATCGTGATTAATGGCTCGCCCCGGAATCAGCGTTTCTGACGCGCATAAGCGCCGCGTAATTTACGAGAGAGTCTTACCCCTCCCACACGCCGCCTCACCCACCTTTTGGAAATAGTTTTAAAACGTAGTTTATTATGGGGGAAATTCTTCTATGAATAGAAACGCGAAATTTTCTAAAAAACATTGATTACGAGCATTAAGCTCCCTATTTCTCTTCCCACGTCCGACGTAGAAAGAGTGTTTTAGGAAAGAAAGGAAGGGCGGAAAAGATAACAATGAAGGGAATAATTTTCAAGGAATGACAGGGCGAGAGATGAGCCGGCGGAAGCTACGCGGGCGGTGCCTGGAGGGGCAAGGGAATGAGGGGGCGGGGAAATGGGTGCGGGAACAGCGGGCGTCGGTGCGGGGGCGGTGAGAGGGGAGGGACAAGGGAAATTAACCGGGGCGTATGGAGACGGCGTGGCGCAGCGCGGCGCGGAGCAGCCTTGGGTCGCTCGCCTGAGGGAGCGCCGTGAGCCTAGGCGCGGAGTGCCGCGGCGGTGGGCCGGGGCCGGGGGCGCGGACGCGGGGGTGGGGAACAAGGGGTGCTGTTGGGGCTGCGAGGGAGCGCCGCGCCTCAAAGCGAGGGGCGTGTGGTGTAGCGCGGCGTGAGGTGAGCACGAGAGGAGCGCTGTGAGAGCGCCAGGCGCCCTCGTAACGCCTCGAGACAGAGTGTGTGAATAGCGCGGTTACCTGAAATATGGGAATTGACACCCCTGGTATAATGTGTAAATTTAGCTATGAACAAAATACCTATTTAGCAGTCTATTTATCTATCTCTTCATTTTTTATTTACCTATTTCTTTTTTTATCTCTCTTTATTTCTCTGTTCGTCTAATTGTCTATCTGCCTATCTATCTATCTATCTATCTATCTATCTTACTATCTATCTTACTATCTATCTATCTATCTATCTATCTATCTATCTATCTATCTATCTATCTATCTATCTATCTATCTTACTATCTATCTGTCTATCTGCCTCTCTCTCTCTCTCTCTCTGTCTATCTATCTATCTATCAATTTATTATATATCAATATATCTAAATTAGTGTAAATTTCCCAACATTCATGTACATTAAGTGTGCTTTTCCGAAAAAAACATGGTTTATGACATCGATACGAGAAATAATGTCGGAAAGTGTTAAGTGTTAAATAATAAAATCGCGCAGGGAACATATTATCAATAGTTTTGATAGTTTTCTACTTTTTTACATATTCCAACAAATTTGCGGAATTTGAACCGTTGATTTAGATTTTGTTGAAGTGTCTTCCTATATTTCCAAGTATTGAAGGAAAGAAAAATATCACGAATTAAGTTCTAGTTATAACAACAAAATTAATTTGAAATTGGGCGGGGGGAGCACAATTGGCATAAAAATAAATACGCTAAAGCGCGCCGAGGAATAAGGGGACGGACCCATCGTAGAAAGAAAAAAATTCTTTGTTACGGAGATGTATTTCGAGACGAGCGCTCCTTCACGGAAACGTAAAGAAAGATCCATAAAATGCATTGCAAATTTTGCAATCCATAAAAGGGTGAAAGTTGTGCACTGGCATATGAAACCTCGGCGAGAGAGAAGAAAACGTGTCGCAAATACGAAAGAGCAGCTTACGCAGTTCGATGAAAAACAACTGTGTACACAGACTGTGTGACTGTGACAATATCTAGAGGAAGGAAATCTGCAATAAAAAATGGATTGTGATTCAGCGGTGGGCATTCTCGCCCGAAGCAGAGGAAATCGATCTTTGTGGAACAAGAAGTACTACGTAAAACTAAGAGAACGACATTCCATTGAATAAACTACAACGCAAAAATTTATCGGGGAAACTGATACTACGGTTCGATAGCAAATTGCTGTACAGGAAAGAAAACGCGGCGTTGACCAGAGCTACGAAGTACTACGTGTCAGTACGGCGCTGTTCTTTCCTCTGCCTTGGCCTCTCGTGGCTGAGTGATGGTGGCTGTTAAAAAGTACGTTATATGCGTTTCAGAAGTTATGTTTAAAGTTTCCGGATTCGTATAACTGAAGCTGACGTGCGCTGCTGCGCATGCGCGAAAGTTAGAGAGCAAGTTGTGGGCGCGGCCGCATGCGCCCTTTGGAATTCTTTTGACATGGGTGGACCACTTTTGTACGAACGCTGCCACTACCACAGCCTGTTTTGTGTATCTGACTGCAACCGTCGTCACTACTGTTGTGTCTACAACTGCCATTGGCGCTAACGGTGTTCCCCAGAACTCATTCTCGATCCATTACTTACTCAGCACCGCCAATTCCGGCCCTGAAACACTGTTGTCTCTATAAGAACGCTTTGAAACAGCAGCTGCGATTTTACACTACTGCCGAATGTGACACCACCATTTTCAACAAACCTTTCACTGCGTCCCCCGTTGCTGCCACCGGTGCTACCACAATCACCGATTCCTACACCACCCTCCATGCTCTGCCTTTTCCCAACACGGGTCGTGCCGGAAAGGTGTTTCACACGACCTCCAATACTAGCTGAGCGCTGCTAGTTCCCGCCCCGAAACACTGCTGTCTATATAATAACGCGTCCAAACAATTGGTGCCATTTTACAGTACCTCCAAAGTCACTACCATCGTCACCACATCTTCCACCGTCATCCGAATGGTCGTTCCAGCAGACATCGCGAAGCACCATTGTTGCGATTTTAACTGCTTGAAACTGCCACTGGTAATTCAGACATCTCCGCGGCGCCTCCACCATTATCAACAAATCTTTCATTAGCTCAGTCATTGATGCTACTACCGTCGCCGTATGCTACATTGTCCTCGTAGCAGTGCCTTCTCCCGACCCGGATCATGGCAAGAAGTTACCGATAACCTCTCTCGATTTCTCGATCGAGCGAATTAACATATTTTCTTGCGACGGTCGGTCCAATGAATAGATGATACAAATTACACATGTCATCAGTAAAAATACACTTCGTGTCATCTGTAGGGTTTATAAACTCATTATAGAGCACAAAGAATTGGGAAAATGCCAGGATTTGCCAAATAGGAGAGAAAATGAACGAAAACTGCAATGTATTCTCACAATAACTTAACAGTATTTGCTTCATGCACGACCACACCATAACACCATTTTTGATGTGACCGGATATTTTTATTGTATAGTGTATGTATGCAATTCCAGTTCCGAATACTCTTAATCTCTTAGCACAGCGGCAACTCTGATGCACAGCCTCTTTTTCGACAGAAATGAACATTAGAACTTTTCTGATATACCACTAACGCTGCTCAACACTGCTTCTCAATGAGAGAATGTACTGCCTTCTTGGCAGCAAGTATGAGAAATATTCCTGAATATGCTTTGCTTTCTTGAATTGATGTACTTCTAAGTTTATTCTTCTCGTTTCACTCTCAAAAGAGAATAATATGCATTATTGTGCAAATGAAACTCGTTCATCTTTTTGACGCTAACGTAGTGGGAGACATCGCTAAAAAGAACATGTTTTCCTGTTTCAGGAGGTACGTTCTGCCCGAAATTGCAAAGAATGGAGTCCCAGCGCGTTTGTTCGTGGAGTCACAAACTGCGATATACTTTGCGGTAAGACATTATAACATTATAACATTTGAATGAGAATGCATACTACGGATGCTTCTGGCGCCGTCTAATATATACTGGTTATTAGCATAAACCAAGCTCCAGCAAGGCTGCACGTCCTCGCAATTCTGCTGCTAAGGCTAAATTAATGTTTGGATGTGTTACGCTAAGTATCTGCACCTTCTCCAGGAATTACCACGCGTATGTTTGGAATAATATATACTTGCCATGTAAGAATAAATTGTTTAATTTATTGAGACAAATAAACGGCGAATTTTTTTCATAATGATAAAAAGAGAACGTTAATTGATCTGCAAATCATATATTTTCTTGTTTTGATACATTTGATACATTTTGTTGCTCTGTTGAAATCAAGACTCTTGTGTGATACATTACAGTCAACTGTTTATCAATAACTATTGCAGAGTTAAAAAATAATTCACACTACAGTATGTTTTAAGATAGATCGTTTTTAACGAAACATAATAGTAGAAACTATCCCAAATTTCCCTGTTTCTTTTGAAAATTTACTTCAACTGATCATCTGGTAACATTGCTAAATGACCGAAAAGCAAAATAAGAGAGGGATTTATAAACCAATTTTTGAATTAGAGCAATGGAAAATTCTGTCAAATATTAACATTTTCATTCATATGAAAGTGTTCAAAACAAGAAGTGAACAGTGGGGATACTATTGTATTTGTTACCATCACAATAGACGTTTATGGTTAACCCTTCCTATTCGTCTGATTCAGTGTAAATTGCGTGTAGCCTAGAGTGGATATTTCTGCAAGATTAGTATTTCTTTAATCTCCCTTTCTCATTATATTCGTATAATATCTGTGGGTTACAATTAAATTATATCTCTGGACACCGAGCTCTTGGAATGTTTAGTATGTACAAAGATGACATTGTATGTACCCACACGTCAGTACGACATGTTTACAGATGCAAAGAAATATTTATTGTATAAGATATCTGTGCATATATAAATGAAACAAATACAGTATACAGATACAAATACAGTAATACATAAAACAGAAAAAATAATTTACTACGTCTTACAATGTGTTGCGAGTACATTTGGATTTTTTGTATAAAAACTGTAACTGAAGGGAATCAGAATTGTATGTATTAAGAGTCACTTCTGGAAAATTGAGAATTTATCTATCTAACTTAACTTGATTTTTACTTATTGACAAACAAGTAAATATTGTTACTTGCTAGTTACATGTCACGGAGAAGTATACCTACTTTTGATGCATGGTGGCGCGGGATCCATATTCATTCCCTCGCCAAATTAGTATATAGTAATTGTTATAAATTATTGTCATTATTATTAGTATCATTATTAGTATTATTTGTCTATTTCATAGGATATTCTAAATCTCAGCTTGCAGCATTCTCCAAGCAAAGATAAGCAAAAAGGCAGAAAAAAATTTCAAGTGCCATCCTCCCTATAAGTGTTATTCGTAGCTACCACCTATATTTCAAAACAAATATAACATTTCATTATTAACGTGCGTGAGCTACCCATTTCTCGAAACGAGCGCCGTCTTGAACTTGCTTCGTCGAATACCTTTTCTCCCTCTCTGCTCTCCTGTCTTCTTCACCCTTCTCCGTCTCCGTCCCCGTCCCCGTTCGCTTCCACGTCCAACTCCACTCGACGTCGTGGCGTCGCGACGGCTCTCGGCGCCGTCTCGCTCGCTGTGAGACACGACCGCGTCCCCGTCGAGTCGATCAGTAATTACGCGATTGCGCGTATACACAGCCTCGTAGGGCTTGTAAACGAGCCCGATTGCGTATGCAAATGAAGGTCTTCATTAATTAATTGAGGCAAAGAATCTCTCCTTTGGTAACAATGATGACGGAAGTCGAGGTTTCCGTTGACTTGCCACCCTCGCGGAAGTGGCCTGCTGGAAGACGCAACCAAGAGGTTGCCCGATGACGGGAGGTGGGTGTCTGCGGTGTGATAGGGACGGGTGAGTGGATGTAGGGTTTCCACGAAGAACTACTGGCAAAGGTAGCTCCCCCTTAGTACAATTCTTAATAAAAATCTTCGACTCCCTTGATCGAACGATATTTATTTTTAATTCGTGTTCGGTAATTGTGGTTTTGGCAAGTTTGAAAAGCGATAGGGCTGGGATTTGGGGTAGGATATAATAAAAGTTGGTGGCCAGATATGTGATGTATTGATCTGAGTTCCAAGTTAAATTCGTTGTGAAGTTATTTATTTGTTATGTACTAATGACTATCAGCATCTACTCTGAAGAATTTATTTTGTAGGAATTGAAGTTTTTGGAGGTTGGTTTTAGCAGAATTGATCCAAATTACAACAATATGGGTCTTAAAATTTTCTTGTAAATTGCTGTGTCAGATTTATAATGGAACGGATGATTCTTGTGAATTAATGGTTGTAGTGACATTTTTTAGTTAGCTGACCTTGGCTTTAAATGTTATCCTAATTTGACTAGATATCGATATATGAACTAAAGTATTGTACGAGTTTGATAGGGGGTATCATTCAATTGTATTGATATTTAGAGTTAGGGATTGAACGTAAGTGGCCATCCATTTCGTCCGTCTCTCTTTTTGAAACGTCGCTCGCTCCAAGCAGGTGGTGAGAACGGCGGAGGCGATGGCCGCGGTGACTCAGAAGTCGGTGACGTCGACCACGGCATCGTCGCCTGCATCTCGTCGCATGCCAATGGTCCCCAGATTGGCAGGCCTAGCACGCAGCCGGCATCCGCGCCTCGCGTCCGGAATATCCGATTGTGTCGCGGGGGCGGGGGCGCTTTTTTCTACCGAGCAGCTTGGTGTCGCTGCGAATTGAACTTCCGCCTTCCAGCCTTTGGGCACGATGTTAACCCCTTAGCGCTATAAAGCAACACTTGTGACGTGCGTGAATGTGTGGCGTGTGTTTGTCAATGATTCAGTGTGCCAAGGACTTTAGCTTAGTCATTTACTTGGAGTGATCAATGAGATGATGAGTAGATGATAATTCATATGAAGATGCATTTGATATGAATAATTGTAGCTTTGCAACTTGTGCTCTTTGGAGTGTTAGGGAGGAGTTTTGATATTGTTTTGATATTGTCACAAAAATCGTACTCCATGATCTCGAGGCAGTGAGTCGACGCTCTCACGTGGGGTATGGTATGAAGTTAGACAAAATCTGTACATTTATTTATGCAAATAGTTTTTATTACAGGGGCGAATATTTTGTCCAAACAAATTGTGCCAAAAACGCTCGCTTTTACTTTTATTCGTAATTGAAATTGGTATATTCAATGAATCGTGATGATACCGACCTGAAGAGATCGCTCAGTTTATCATCAGATGTCACTGCAGTCCTTCTGACTCGGAGGTCCTAGGTTCGAGTCCCGACGGTGGCAGGATTTTCGACACTAGCTTGTTAGTTCGAATTTAGTCGTGTTCTGAAGAATTCTAGCGACTGGCTGCTCTGATCGGTAGTTTATCGTGGGTTCACTGATCAATACCGGAGCAGTACCGTAACAAACGGACCGTGCGCGATCTTTCCCTATCTCCTTCTTGTCCTATCCTCACCCCCTTACACACGCACACATACACACTAACATGCACTACACTACTACACATGCCGGGAGGCCAGTCGGGAGCTTGCAACGGCTGGGGTGGTGCGCCGTTGGTGGGAGATACCAGATTGGGGAACCCCCGCTCCTATTTAAGTCAATTTAAAATTGATTTTTAATTCGAATTCTACATTACTGGCGGATAAGTCTATAGCTAGGATTTGATATATAAGAGAAATAATGAACTAATAGATTTATAACTAACATTAAACATCGGTTTGGTATCAGTTTTATATGAAAAGGATATCATTAGATATATAACAAGTCAGGAAAGCTATGTTAAATCATCTCAGAAATATTTTTTAAACGTTATCGAATTACCCCTATGCCAGAAGAGAAAGTTACTCGCATTGCAACAGATTCATTGCACGTCAGAAGTACATTGCAATAATTAGTAAAGTATTAGGCTATTGTGCACTTTCAGGGTCCCGACGCCATTTTTGGCTGTTCTGTGACACAGTACCCGGCCTCATGGATTGCAAACGTGAAATGTGGATCCACTTAGCTAACATAAGACCTAGAGTATTGTCCTAAGTATGTATAACGAATATTATAACTTATTGTTAATATTTTAGGTTGAATGTCGAACGACAACTCGCACCAGCAAACGCCGTTGTAATTGTAACATCAACCTCTAAAGGTGAACAGATGCTTCTCTACGCGCTTCTAATTTCATGATGAGTCTCCGATCTTCGACCTACATGATTAACATAAAACATCCTTGAGCCTGTCCAACGCGAAATTGACATTGACGTATTAGGTATATGTATTTGTTGACGACACCACTGTAAAACTCTCTCTTTACTTTCTACTTTATTAACTTAACTCATCCAATTCATCGCCATTATACGCAGTGTTATGCATTCGCAATCACAGTACGGTGGGCAAAATTGCGTATGAAAAATTACAATTGTTAGGTTTAAACATATTTCATCAAATGAAGTAGGCATGTCGCTTATGGTCCCATTAAGTAAACATCAGCCAATTGTACTATTTGTAGACGAAAATTTTCAAACCGAATGAAACCAACGGAAAACGCCACACAATTTCTCGCATTTTTGACGGACGGAGAGACAAACACACACACACACACACACACACACTTGCATATACACACATATACACACTCACACGTTTTACTATCAATAGATTTTAGTGTCAAGTATCCATAAAACGTGGATTCTGACAAATTAAATGAAAATAATTTACTACAATAGGTACATGATTTATCAACTTGTTTGTTTCCAGGGCCTGACAACACGAGCCTTTCTGTCGAAAAATCACTGATTTCCGAAGCAGTATTACAATAATTTATCTTCATCACGAAAACGTAGTAAGGCGAGAAAGTAAAAATCATGTCGTAAATTTTAACTTACAGAACGAATATAAGAA